TACTCTCAGCAGCTTTTTCCAGTGCTGCGGCCTCTCGCTTGGTCTCCGTCTTCAAGTCGGATGCGGTAGAAGCGGCGGCGTGCTTTACTTCGTCTAGCTTCTTGGAGGCTTGAGCAGCCAAAGCTTCAGCCTTTTGAGCGGCAGTTGCTCGGACCTCCTTTGCCTTGTCCTGAGCGGCGGCGATGATATCCTTGGTGGAGTTGACAACGGCGGTTGCGGGGCGACGTTCAGGGGTTGCACCAGAGCCGCCAGTCAAGGTGGACAATCCGTACTGATCCCAGTCATTGTCGTCTGCGTATTCGATCAATTTGTCAGCCAGAGGGAAAGTCGAGGTGAAGAAATCCCTGTATTTGTCCGACTGGAGAGAAAGGTAGGCCGAGGTAGGGTAGAAGACCAGCGTGCCGAGAGTCAAATACAGGAAGAGTTTTCGGAAAAACTTGCTCGGTGGTTTGGGAGCCTGGGGAGGCGGAGGTGGTGGCGGAGGAGGAGGTGCGCCACCAGTCTTGACGACAACGGGAACAGGTTTGACGACTACAGGGATAGGCTTGACGGTAGCGTCGACGGGAAGAATGATGTCGGGCTTCGCAGGACCGGCTGCATTTTTCGGAACTACCACGGTCGCAACAGGTTTCGCGTTGACTGCAGTAGGAGGGATTGGTGGAATTCCAGGCGCTATCGGTCCTCTTGCGGAAGGTGAACTGCTGTCGACTGCGTATCGCTGTAAAATCGGACGGATATCAGGATGCTGCAGTGAGCTGCTTTGAGAACGCTGCAACTTACCCTGATAGAAAGTCTTGCTTGTGCGCTCAAGCGACTGCTGTTGACCAGCCTAACTTGTCGATACATGGCTGAGAAGATGGAAGCCTGCAATCTACCTGTTGGTAAGGTGTTTGGGGTGTACGAGAGGATATTTGAATTGTTGATTGTACTCTACACCTTCAAGGTATAATGTCGTCCAATCGCTTTTCCGGCTCAGGAGGACCTGGGCTCAAGCTCTCAATCGAAATGAAGAACCAGAGTCGGCTCAACCTCGTGCACGCTCCCTGTTCCTTCCTAATGACGTACCCGGCAGTGAGCTGGATGAACTCGGAACTCGTAAACTCGCGCAAGGGTTGCTACCCTATTTCATGTCGACTGACATACGGGCTACATTTTTATAATACAGAATAAGCCCTTGAGGACGTTTGTCTTTTTGATGCAAACGTATCTAACAACCGCCAGCGCAATAACCTCCACCTCCAAGTCCACAACCCCAACAACTGATCGCCCCTTGGCCTGCACCCGTCATGACAAGTCCTACAATGCTGATAATGCCTTCGCCGAGCACGAATCCACTCGCGCAGACAATGACTAGAAGAGGGGTTTCACCATTTTTCCGAGTTCTATAGGCAATATATCCGCCGATCAGACGGGCCAACGAGAAAGACGGTGTATTCAGGAAGCCGATCGCGAATGCGATGCCTGACGGTATGTAGTGAATCCACCTGGGTGGTCTCGCGGTAAGTAGAGGGGTCATATACTTGATGAAAGATAGCAGGGCAAAGACGGAACCAAATGCCGTCATGAAGACTGCCGTGTAGGGGGGCAGATGGCCGGTGTTGAGTAGTCGAGCTAGGTTCAGCCTAGAGACATGAGAGATCAGCAAGTGGTAGTGATTGTATGATACTTGAGTGCGAGTGAGACTTACCATATAGCAGCCGTGGGCACTCGAAACTCTGGTCCGGGGATCTATAGCAGATGCGTAAGCTCATGGTAACCGAATCGGGTTTTGCTCGCACGTACCTCGTAAATGCTGGTATATAATTTATACGCTCCCACGGACACGAAGACACTTGCAAAACTACCAATCATCTGGCCGTAGAACTGTGAGCGAGGAGATGCCTTGAGTAATGCTCCGGTCTTGAGGTCTTGCATCAAGTCTCCGGCTCTACATTCAAGGTAATGAGTCTCATTTACTCGACATCGGTCAGGGTGCATCGAAGCGCGAACTTACTGCTGTGCACCAGCCTGATTGTGATGTACGAGACTTGTGGATGAGTAAAGCGTTCAGTCTGTAAAATACTGGGCATTGAACTTACCTCGGCAACACCGCCTGCAATGATATTTGCGACCACGTTTCCTGGCTGAAGTACAGCAAACACCAATTGGCTGATCTTTCCAATACCAGACTGTATAGCAATTGTGTCAGCCATCGGCCCCGCATTAGGAGGGTATGGACTGTCGCAACTTACTACGGGATTGAGATCCGTTTGTCCAAGAGCTCGCACGCCCAACACGCTAAGGATACTGGCGAGAACCAAACCCAACGCGGTGGCCCAGGGCCGAATACCCTCATGCCCAAATATCACCCATACCAGCATGATACCTAGAGCCGAGCTGACTGCAAGGCCAATACCGACCCAGGACATGGGGACCAACCTATCCGGTGATTCCGTTTCCACGTCGTCAGAGTCTACTTCGTGATGGCGGAATTGTTGGAACTGTTTGAGTACGTTGGATGAATAGGATAGAACGATGGGCAGGAGAGAGATTACGGATTCTGAGATCATGATAGCCAGGGAAATCCAAAGCTGTCGAAACAGTGTGTCAGTCTTAGGAAGCGAAGGAGGCAGTCTTTGGTTGCGCTCACAATCCAGCCTCGAGAACCATCGGTTGAAGATGACACTGGTCCAGGAGCCCAGCCTTTGTGCTTGGCAAGTGGGGAGAGGATTGCCCATCCAGTGATCATACCGAGGTTCATGGAGACTGTTGTTGGGAATCCCATGATAATGCCTACCGAAACAAGTCAATCAGAACTTGTGACCAGACCCGCTGGACAGATGTTATAATTCACCCTGACCGACATAAGACAGACTGGGAGAAAACCTAAGAGAGCGGTATTTCAGCGAAATCCCTCGGCGTCCAAGTCGGCTGCCTACTCACCACCAAGCCCATGTTGCGGCAAGACTTGTCCCGAACATGGCGCCAATGATGTCGAATACTGGCATAGCGAATATAACTGGGAATAGGAAACTCGCAAACTATGGCGCACGCCACGTTCAGTCAGTAATGTGCCTTTTCGCCACGTCGCGAAAAATGACATACAGTAATAGCGGAACTGGCTGCGAAGCTCCAGCCTAGTACCCACCACCCAAGCTTGCCCATCTCCTCTTGTGTGACAGGGTCCTCGTATATGCTGGCCGGCTGCCGAGCGATTTTGACTAACTCCTCCTCTTGGTCATCACCGACGCTTTCCATCCGTTCTACGGACGCAGAGTAGGTAGCATCGCCAGAAGACCTTCTGGGAACGGCTTGATATCCGCTCGAAGCAGATATGGCACCCCTCGTGGTATCGATCTCAGTGATTCTTGGTGGCGGAATCCGATGTAGCAAAGCGATAAGCTGAGCAGTCGCGGCTAGATTCGCATCGGCGGGTAAGAGCAGGCTCTCTGGTGGAATCAGGCAAGCGGTCCAACTTACTTCCTGAAGGAAATACCAGCTTCTCCTTGACAATCTATAGCAAGACTCGTTCAGCACCAGCTTTATCGTCGGACGCAGAGAAGTTTAATGCATACCACCTGCCTTCTCAAAGGCACTGCCAAGAATACCCTGTCACAAGCAACCTGTGAGTTTAGACCGAGCCCTCGCGCACATCAGAGACCACTTACCCGAAAAAACAGATACCAAAACTCCAGCCGATGAGTTGCCAGTATCCCAACTTCAATGGATGCACCCCATCGATGTTGAACTCCAGCTGCTCCAATGCAGGTATAATTCCGACGAGACCCGCAGCAAGAGGGAGGGTGCCAGTGGCGACAGCGGTCGTTTGGAGAACCACATTCTCCTGCGGTGTAAAAGGTCTATCTGACGGCGTGAGGAATGGTATGCGCGATAGAAACCCAGGTCGAGGCAGTTGGAAAAGGGCATAGCCCAGAAGAGCCGACTGTAGCGACATCATGGATATCCATCCGGTTTGAAGGCCCTAGTCGCGGTGAAAGGGGTCAATGGTCCATCTGAATTAGTATGGAGTTGTGCTTACGAAATATAGGTTGGTAAATGCGAGTCTGTAAACCCAGTTAGCACCTGCAGGAAGGGATATCTGACGCAACTTACAATACGCCGACCAGCAGCCCGACGGCGACTGCTCTGAACTGTTATCCGTAGATTGCAAGTAAGTAGACGACCAGCAGCCCGAAATCGTGCAACATACTGTAAAGTCACCCTCGATCCCATACTCGGCTTCTAGTTCTCTTAACAGTTCCTCGTCTGCACAAGAGTCGTCGTCTCGGTCTAGGGACAGACTCCGCTGGTGACTTTGCATCCTTGGCCTTTTCTCTGTAGAGTGTTGCAAGCCGTTAGACAAGAACAAACCGAATTTCTCAGCCACTCACGTACTGTACCTTTGTTCACTTGGGCGGTTGATCAGGGACGTTACCCGCCTGTTACTTTGTCAGTCCTATATTGAGAGGCGACCTTGTGTGTTCTTCCGAGGTCCGTTAAATGGGTGTTGCGTTTGTAGAGGAAGTTGACTGATCAGAAGGGATGTAACAACGAATAAGGTAATATCAGTCAACTCGATAGGAGGTGTGTAAGGTGCGATCGAGCCTCGGTCTTGCCCGCATTTGATAGTTCCGCATTTGTCTCAGCGTACCGACGTACTGTACAGGAATAATTTGCAGGTCCTCGAGCGACGAGCTATGAATGTTCAAAGCTGCAGGCTTGCCCGTTCCAGATACCTTTCTGAACTGCTCCATTCCATATACGCTAGTGTTTGGCTTCCAGAAAGCCAGCCAACACTGGATGTCTGCTGCCGGCAGTGCACGGTGAACGCCCCACAAGGGCCAGCAGCCGTGTTTCGAAGCGCCTACTCTGTATTATAAAATTTGATAATCATCCTTGCCTGCTGTCGTGCCGGCCACTGGTTCTCTATGGCGACAACGGTAGGAGAAAAGAGTACCTGAAGCGGCGGGCTGGATACTAAGGTAGTAATGAGACGTTTAGAACAGGACGCACAAGTATCCTTCTCACTAGCACAGTGGTAGTTGCGTCGAGCTGTTATTCAAAGCTTCCCATCTTGGGGTCGAAGCATTGCGTCTGGCACTCGAAGGTCGTTGGTTCGACCCCAACGTGGGAAGTCCCTTTTTGCCGTCTCCGATATCACTGTGCGCACGCCGCGAGTCGAATGAATCGTTTTGCACCTTTTTTGAACGATTTCGGGCGTTTGATGCGCGAGAAACCCTCAACTTTGTCCGGCAGTCTCCAACAAACCTCGAGGCTGCCTAGAGCGATTGGATAAGCTTCACGGCAAGACCCTTGGTCTCGGTTGTGCTTTGGAAGCTCTCACCGACGTCACCAGCTCCCATCAGCCTGGAAACATGACATGCGCAACCTTTTTCGCAAGACTTTTCTTCGGTTGCGCAGTGAGCCAGAATCTGGGTGCGCTATCAGACTTTTGCCGCGGAAAATCGATTTCAATACATTTAGTGTAAGGTGTGGATCTGGTGTCCGCTTGCCTTGACGTAGATGATACTAGTTTGAGAGTTCAGCAGGTTCCAAAGACGATCTAGCACGATCCGGATGTTTCCGTCGGTTTCGACCATTAATCTCAGCCAGAACAGCCGGATTGCTACTTCCTATGGCTACATCCCCCTCAAGGGTTTCAAAGCTGCTGCAATATGCGCATCTCAGGGGTTACTGAAGTCTATATGGCTCTAGGGGAACGGGGAGGAGCGTGGTCGCTTCAAGTCGCCATGCAGCCCATCTCCTCTATCACTTGCATTATTGGCGGTATGTCACACTACCGCTTAATCGGAAGCAGTTTGAGATCACTGTGCTCGAACTTCCGGGGACCCAAATCCAACTCCATCTGCTTTGTAGACTAGACGGATGCCGACAAGTCTCCCCGAGTGGTATGCGACCGAGTTGCTGCGCAGAGCATCCACCCGGTCAGAACTCCTCGACATGTGCGTCAAACAGCGGCGCCCTCAAGTATTTCTATGCTACCCGGACTCTGACACATCCAGAGTGCTCGTCGCATATCAATTGAATGGTGGACCAGTGGTGAGCTATAATAGCTGACGTTCCAGAAGCCGCGACATGATTACACTTGAGGTAGAAGTTAGTCGCAAAGAATTATATTCTCCATGGTTGTTTCTCGGACTCGTGTTATGTCAGCCGATACATCACCGTGCGTCCCAACATCAAACTCTCCCGACGCACCTGCTCCACCTACCTGCGAAAGTCACAGCTTATCAGTGGGCTAAAGCTGTCTCATTTCTCCACGATATCCCGGCCACAAGACGATGTGCCTCGTTTCGGCAGTCGCGAACATGACGAACTTCGTACTCAATCTCATGAGAGCACATCCCGATGGAGGGCCCAGTGAACGCGGACGAGAATGCAGCGGACGTAATAACCACATCTGACATCGAACAGTCAGTGGCCAGTACGAAGCCTTGTATGGCGTCGAAATCCGAAAAATCGACGCAAGCACTACTCCTGGCAAGCAGAAGACGGTGCCTTTGCGCTGCAAGGCGTCAGTCCCATCCGACGACTCGAGACAGATGGCTGAGCATGCTCAAGAAAACTGAATCATGCTATGCAATAATATAAATCATGGTGTTACAGGCATACGAGGCTCGCTCTTCAGTCTACCTTTGCTTTCAAAGGTGGATCTGTCATGACGATACAAGGAAGGAGCAGGCTTGGTTAAGCCATGATTACGTCTTCTCCGGTGGGGCGAATTTCTCTCACCTATAACGTTCAAAGTGAGGTATTTGAGCACTTCATCTATTAATATAATGGGAGCAGAGATCCAAAGAACAGCCATCCACTCGTCCCAGTTCAAAGGTATGATTTGGAAAATGGACTAGGTGGGCGATCCAAGTCAGCGACAAACTCGTTTCCGGTAGAATGAAGATGCACTCACGCTGAGGAATGGCACGTAGAGGATCATAAAGTGCAAAGCCATGCTCAACGCGATGGATGCCATCAGGTATGGGTTGACCCATATCGGCATGACTAGCAGTGACTCGTTTTCACTGAGGGAATTGCAGGCGTTAAGCATTTCGATGACTGGAGGAGAGTGCAGATAATGGTCAACACGTCGCTCCAGAGCACGTATCAACAAAGCGCTCACCGACCAGGATAGACAACGACATCGTGGTCGCCGTCTTCGAGTAGTCGTTGCTGAACATTTCACAGCCAATCTCGGGGAACTTGGTGCTGCACTGGTGGAAATGAGTCTAGAGGGAGGCTTGTCAGTGACCTATTCCCAACGACATGCAATGTCGCACTTACAAGCTGGTGGAACGTGATCTGAGGGCCTCCGCTGTAATAGATAAACCACCAAGCGTATCCGAATACGGTCGCGCAACCAACGTAGATGCCGATAACCATGTATCGCACGAACAGCCACGGGCCGACCAGAGGTTCCCGGCCGGACCGAGGCGGTGTTCGCATAATCATGTTGTCAGGGGGGTTGAAGCCAAGAGCGGTAGCGGGAAGACCACTGTAAGGAACAGTCAGTTACTGTAGATTTTGCTACTTGCAAAAAACTCACTCGGTGACCAAGTTTACCCATAGCAACTGTACCGGAATCAGGGCCTCGGGCATACCCAACAAGACGGTAAGGAAAATGGAAACGACTTCTCCAATGTTGGACGAGATCAAGTATCGGATGAATTGTTTCGTATTGTTGTAAATTGCACGACCCTCCTCGACGGCCTTTTCGATGGTCGCAAAGTTGTCGGTGGCAAGAACCATGTCGGCCGCAAGTTTGGCAACATCCGTTCCGGATCCCATGGCGATACCAATGTCGGCCTTTTTCAGTGCACCGGCATCATTGACACCGTCGCCAGTCATGGCCACAACCAATCCTTGCCCTTGAAGCAAATCGACAAGTTGACTCTTGTGGTTGGGCTCGGTTCGACTGAAAAGACTCGCTCTCTGCACCGCAAGGATCTTTTGTCCCGGAGAAAGGTCATCCAGTTCTCGCCCAGTATAGGACTTGCCTGTCAAATCCTCGTTCATGCCAAAGATGCCGATTTCTCGGCAAATGGTCTCGGCAGTGTTCTTGTTGTCTCCTGTAATCACAATCGTTCGGATACCGGCAGCCCTGCACTTGGCGATGGCGTCTCGGACTTCAGGTCGAGGTGGATCCAGCATACCAACAAGACCGACAAACGTCATGTTCTGTTCAAAGTTGACGTATTCGGCGGCGCTTTCCGTCTTGTAGTGTTCGACATTCGAATCGGCTTCGTCAACGAATGCAAAAGCCAAAGTTCGCAAGCCACTCTTGCCGTATTCAAGCTGAGCACGGGCCAGTTGTTCCCGGACGTCGGATGTAAGTTCACGCGTACCTTCTGGGGTGAGAACGGTCGTGCATCGTTCAATGACGGATTCCGGTGCGCCTTTTACAAAGAGGACAGTGTGTCGTTCGTGTTTGGCGAGTACAGACATTGATTTACGGTCCCGAGAGAATTCAAAAGTAAGCAGTCGCGGAATCCTCTGTTCGTAATACGAGTTGACGGCGTTGACTCGAGCTGAAGGGTGCATGTTTCCGAGCGTCTTGTTAAAGTTTTCATCGTTGGTTCCGGCCTTTTCAACCAGGACCTTGAGGGCGGCTTCGGTGGGTTCACCCAGGTTGGTGTAGATTCGGGTTTCCTACAAGGCAGTATGAGACGGGCGTGACATGACGATCTGCAAGCCGACTCACATCATTGTACGCGATCCTGGCATCATTACAGATGGCGGAGATTTCCATCAGACGTTCGATCGGCCTAGTTCGAGCGATTCCCTTTTCGGAAAACTTGGCATCTGACGCGCTGATCTCTCCGACAGGCGCAAAAGTAGAGCCGGTAACTCGGTACTCTCGAAGAGGAGTAGAGCCGTTTTCGATAGTCAAGAACTGCGAGAGGGGCGCTGTCAGTTTCCAAGTGATGGGGCAGGTAGCGTTGCACTTACTCGAGAGACAGACATCTGGTTCGTGGTCAATGTCCCCGTCTTGTCGGAACAAATGACGTTTGTGCAACCCAAAGTCTCGACACTCGGCAGATTCCTGACGATCGCTCCGCGTTTTGCCATCTTTTTCGTGCCCAAAGCCAGACATGCGGTAATGACGGCAGCCAAACCCTCAGGAATAGCAGCGACGGCGAGCGCTACTGCAATCTTCAAGTAGTATATCGCGCCCTTTAGCCAACCGTGATGAGCAGGGTCGTTGAAATGCCTGATGTTGACGAGCCAGACAAGAATGCAGATAACACTGATGACCTTGGCGAGTGAGTCTCCAAAGTCGTCCAGCTTTCGCTTGAGCGGGGTCTTTTCGGTCACCGTGGAAGAGATGGATTCGTGGATTTGACCAATGGCGGTATGCGGTCCAGTAAGCACGACCAATGCCTTTCCTGCTCCATTAACAACGGTCGTTCCCTACATCCGCATAATGTCAGGTCAAAGATGCAACGAGGCAAGGGCAGAAAGACTCACGGCAAAGAGCATGTTCATCATGTCTTGTCTCACGGCCTTTTCATCCGCAACCTTGTCTTCCATCTTTGACACACTCATCGATTCACCTGTCAACAACGCTTGATCGACCCTAAAGGAACTGCTGGAAAAGCTCAGAACCCTGCAATCCGCTGGGATCTTGTCTCCGACGTGGACTTGAATGATATCGCCAGGTACTAGTTCTGAGGAATGAATCTTGTACGATCGACCGGATCGGATGACGGTAGCCTCATCAGGCGAGTATTCTTTCAGGGCCTATTCGCGAGGAAGTACAGCATTAGTGCTATCAAACAGTTCGGCCCGGTGAATGCGAGCTCACATCGATGGCCTGCTCGGCATTGCTTTCCTGAATGACTCCGACAGCAGCGTTGGCGATTAAAATCAACAGAATGACCAAAGGTTCAACAAAGGCAGTCACCCAACCGCCTTCTTCGGTATGGTCTTCGAAACAAGCGAGGATAAAGGACACGATGGCAGATCCAAGCAGAATGAGAACGAGTTGATCTTGGAATTGCGCCAGTATTAATTTGAACATGGACGTTGCGGGTTCGTCAGGGAGAACTGAAGGGTAGAAACGCAATGTCAGTCATATACACACTACACTACATCAGAGCGAAACAACATACCATTTCGA